GTTTGGTAAAACTCCCCTGCAAAGCCATCCGAAATGGGTCTTTTCTTTGCTCTGTTTTTTTTTTTTTTTAAATTTTTTTAAATTTATTATTATTTTTTATCAATCTTTATTGTTCATATTATTACAAAGGTTCCTCATTTCTTCCCCCCTCCTCCAGGTTCCCACCCCACCCTCCGCCCCCTTCCCCTCCCCCATTGTCCTCATCCATAGGTGCATGGTTTATGTTCAGTCTCTTCCTCCCTCCCTTTCCCCGATAGTAAATCCCTTTTCAGATAGTAAATCAGTTACTTAGTTTTTTCTCATATCAATAATACCTCCACATGCCCAATGATACACTTCACACAAAAGACATTTCCAAATATTATAGGTCAACCAGCCTCATTCAGGCCCTATCCAAGGCACTCACAGATCAACACCCCAGCGCTATACTAACTCAACACATCCAGATCTAAGCCTTCATCACTTGATTCAGCAGACCCTCAAGTTCCCGCACAAGTTTCCAGCCATGTCTGAGAGGCAGCCTTGGGGCGGGGGCAGGTGAGGAGCGAGCTGTTCTGGGCCTGGCTGCTCCGGGCCTGGCCTCTGTTGCTCTGGTACGTTCCACAACCAGCTGCTCTGGGTCTGGCCACTGCCGCTCCCGACCTGGCTGCTCCAGACTTGGCTGCTGCTGCTCCGGGCCTGGCTGCTCCCAGCCTGGCAGCTGCTGCTCCAGGCCTGGCTGCACCCGACCCAGCTGCTCCGGGCCCGGCCGCTCCGGGCCTGGATGCTCCCAGCCTGGCAGCTGCTGCTCCGGGCCTGGCCGCACCTGACCCGGCTGCTCTGGGCCCGGCTGCCCCGGGCCCGGCCACTCCGATCCTGGCCTCTTCCGGCCTTGGCTACTGCTGTTTTAGGCCTGGCTGCTCCCGACCCGGCTGCTCCGGGCCCGGCTGCTCCGGACCCGGCCACTCCGGGTCTGGGTGTTCCTATATTGGCCACCCTGGGGTTGGCTGCCTCCGCCTCAGGCCTGGCTGCCACTGCCCCAGGTCTGGCTGCCCCAGGCCTCTGGCTGTTGCTGCTCTGGTTCTGGCTGCTGCTGCTCTGGGGCCTGGCTGTTGCTGTTCCAGGCCCGGCTGCCACTGCCTTGTGTCTGGCCACTCTAGGCCTGGCCGCCGCTGTTCCAACATTCTGTCCTTTTTTTTTTTAAATTATTTTTTTAAAAACGCATTTATGTTGCAACGTTGGCTGGTGAGTTGAGTTCTGACTTAGTCTTTGATTTTTCAAGATCTTCTTTGTATTCTTTCTAAGTAATTTTACTATCTTTTGCTCTCATTTGATTTCTTCACATTGAGAACTTCTTCGGTTTCTTCCTCCTTGTCCTGGGAGCTCAGCAGGTTGGCCTGTGGCACCCCTTTGTTCTCCGCAAGCTCCTGCACTGCTTCAGCCTGTTTCCGGGGTTCGCACTGCTGCCCAGGAAGCAGCCCCCGGCCTTGGCTCCACTGCCCGCGCTCAGCGGTCGAAGGCTCGGGGGCACCGCCCCCACTGGGGGCCCCGTCGTCCGGTTTCTTGCTGGCGCCCGGCTGGCCGGTGTCTGGCAGGGGCTCCTGCTCCTCGTCGCGTTCCTCCAGTCTGGAGCTTTTTTTCTCCTTCCTGCTAGGGGAGTCTAGCATCAGAGTCAACAGACTGTCCTGTGCGCGCAATGTGCGCGACTCCGGGGGCTCCGCTTTTCACCACTCCCCCAGGACTCCACCTCACAGCCCCGTCTCCCTCTGCCTGAGCCGGCCGTGGCTCCTATTTCCTTCCCTCCAGTGCAATCCCGCATCAGAGTCAACATTCCTTCCCTTGTGAGCAATGTGCGTGACTCCGGGGGCTTGGCCTTTTGCCGCTCTCCCAGGACTCCACCTCACAGCCCCGTCTCCCTCTGCTTGAGCTTGGGTCCCCAGGGATTGGCCCAGAACTGGAGTTCGGGGCAGTCGAGAGTGGGGCTTAGCACCGCCGGAGGCTTTGTTTCTTCCCGCTAGGGCAATCCAGCATCAGAGTCAACATTCCGTCCTCTGCGAGCAATGTGCGTGACTCTGGGGGCCCAGCTTTTCGCCGCTCCCCTGGGATTCCGCCTCACAGCCCCGTCTCCCCCTGCCCGAGTCTGGGTACCCAGGGTCTGGCCCATATCTGGGGCTCAGCACTGCTGGTTCGGGGGTTCAGCCCAGGCTGGGGGTTTTATTTCCTTCCTGCTAGGGAACACCAGGCAGCACCCAGCCTTCTCCTCCTCTCTGGTTGTGACCTCTCCGCGCGTGTGTGCGTGCAAGCGCACAGCATGTCTCCGTACCTTAGGCTTTTTTCAGCTCATCTGATTTTCCTTCTGGTTTTCTCTTTCCTTCTTGTTGTAGAATTTTCAGTCAGTCTACTACCTGTAGCTCTGGGCAATGTCCACTCTACATTTTAGTTGTATTCCATTGAAATTGTTGTGTGCTGCTGCAGTTAGGTGTCTACCTGAGCAGCCATCTTGGATCTCCTCTGCTCTGGGTTTTTAAATTACTGCTTCTATTTCATCAGTTGTTATAGTCTTATTCAGGTTTTCTGCTTATTCCTGCTTCTTCCTGCTTCATTTATGGGAGATTGTATTTTTTAGAAATTTATCTATTTCATCCTCATTGTCCAGCTTGTTGGCATATAACTTCATAGGATTTTCTTACAATCCTTTGTGTTTCTGTGGTATCAGTTGTCACTTCACCACATTCGTTTGTTTTTATATTTATTTGGGTCCTCTCTCTCTTTCTTTCTTTTTAAAATATATTTTATTGAATTTTTACAGAGAGGAGGAGAGAGGGATAGAGAGCTAGAAATGTCAGTGAGAGAGAAACATCGACCAGCTGCCTCTTGCACATCCCCTTCTGGGGATGTGCTCGCAACCAATGTACATGCCCTTGACCAGAATCGAACCTGGGACCTTTCAATCTGCAGACCAATGCTCTACCACTGAGCCAAACCAGTTTCGGCTCTCTTTGTTTCTTGATAAGTCTTGCTAAGGGTTAATAAATCTTGTGTATGTTTTAAAAGAACCAGTTTTGATTTCATTAATTTTTTTTTTAATCTCTAAGTTATTTATTCCTGCTCTAATGTTTATTTCCTTCCACTTACTTTGGCTTTTTCTTGTTGTTCTCTTTCCAGTTCTTTATGTTTTAGGGTTAAATAGTTTATTGCTGATTTTTCTTGTTTTCTTAGGTAGGCCTCTAGTGCTATGAACATTCCTCTCAGAACTGTTTTTGCTGTGTCCCAGACATTTTGTGTTGTTGTGTATTCTTTTCATTTCTTTGCAGGAGTTTTTTTTTTTAAATTTCTTTCTTTATATCATTGGTTACCCATTCATTGTTTAAAAAACATACTATTTAGTCTCCATGTGTTTGAATGTTTTTGAGTGTCTTTACTGTAGTTGATTTTTCATTTCATTCCACTGTGACTTGAGAAGATGCTTTATATTATTTCAGTCTTCTTAAACTTGTAGAGACTTGTTTTATGTTCTAACATGTGATGTATCTTTGTGAATGATCCATGTTCACTTGAGTAGAATGTATATTCTGCTGCTTTGGAGTGAGATGTTATATGAATGTCAATTAAATCCATCTGATCCAGTGTGTACTTTAGAGTCACTGTTTCCTTGTTTATTTTTTTGTCTGGAAAGTCTATACAGTGAAGTGAGTGGGGTGTTAAAGTCCCCTACTATGTCTGCATGATTGTTAATCTCATCCTTAAAGTCTTTTAGAAGTTTTTTTATTTATTTTATTTGGGTGCTTGTATATTGGGTACATATATGTTTATCAGGATTATATCTTCATACTGGATTGATCCCTTTAGTATTATATAATGACCTTTGTTGTCTCATGATGGCCTTTATTTATTTATTTTTATTATTATTTTTAAAAATATATTTTTATTGATTTTGAACAGAGAAGAAGGGAGAGAGATAGAGAGTCAGAAACATCGACGAGAGATAGACATCGATCAGCTGCCTCTTGCACACACCCCCACTGGGGATATGCCCGCAACCAAGGTACATGCCCCTGACCGGAATCGAACCCGGGACCTTTCAGTCCCCAAGCCGACACTCTATCCATTGAGCCAAACCTATCTTGGCGATGGCTGTTATTTTGAATTCTATTTTGTTGGATATGAATATTGCTACCCAAGCTTTTTTCAATTCCATTTGCCTGAAAAATTTTTTCCATCCCTTCACTCTCATCCTGTGTATGTCTTTGGTTCTGAAGTGGATGTATCATAGCATATAATTAGTAAAGTTTTTGTATCCATCCAGTCAGCTACACTATATCTTTTTATTGGAGCATTTAATCTATTTACATGTAAGGTTATTATTAATAGGTAATTATTTTATTTTTTTTGAATAGGTACTTATTTATTGCTATTTCAATTCTGTATGCCTGCATTTCACTTCTGTTTCTTCTTCTGATTACCGAAGTCCCTTTAGCATTTCTTGTAATGCTGGCTTGGTGGTAATGAACTCATTTCGCTTTTTATTTTTTTTGTCTGGGAAGCTATTTATTTCTTTATCTATTTAGAATGATAGCTGGATTGGATATAGTAATTTTGGTTTCAGATCCTTGTTTTCCATTACCTTGAGTACTTCATGCCATTTCCTCTGGCCTATAGAGTTTCTTTCTTTTTTTTTTTTTTAATATATTTTTATTGATTTTTTACAAAGAGGAAAGGAGAGGGATAGAGAGCTAGAAATGTCGATGGGAGAAACATCGATCAGCTGCCTCCTGCACACATGCCCTTGACCAGAATCAAACCCGGGACCCTTCAGTCCGCAGGCCGACGCTCTATCCACTAAGCCAAACCGGTTTTGGCTGGCCTATAGAGTTTCTGATGAGAAATCAGCTGACAGCCTAATGGGAACTCCTATGTAGGTGAAAAATTGTTTTCCCCTGCTGCCTTTAAGATTTTCTCTCTGGAAGCGAGGCCGGAAGAGCGCTAGGCGCGTAGTGAACTGGGGTCTCCTCGGAAAACAGAAGCCATTGCACCCCACAGCGTGGTGGGGTAGGGTGGGCTAGAAGGAAGGGACCAGGTTCACCGGGACAGGAGACGGACTCTGTGGACCCCCGAGGGCCAGCCCCGCAGTCTTTCCAGAGAGCTGAGAAACCTGGTCGGGTCCGCCGTCGGAAGACCAGACGGGAGCGAAATGAGTCCCTGGTGGGCAGCTGCCGGCCATTGGCTCATCAGGAGCCTCCTGTGGCTAGTCGGAATCCACCCATGGACCTCCAGGACCACGTGGCCCCTACTGCAACCAAGCTAGTGGTCATAACCCAGGGCCGGCTAAGCCTGGAGCACCGGGGTCTCTTCAACCATGAGGTGAAATCTCTGGATGTGGCAAGGCTGCCGAGCAGTGGGTCACTGGAACCAGACACCCCCACATTACCCAGCAAGCCTTCCCCAAGCCCAGTCAGGGCCCAAGAACCAGGCCCACAGTCAAGAGGCAAGGAGAACCAGGTGCCTGGAGACTCTGGCCCAGGCCCACCTAGTCCCCTAGAGCTCCCTGGCTTGGGGCAGCTGCTAGGGGAGCTGCAGGGCCAGCTGATTCTGCCACAGGCCTTCCCCAGGAGGAACCTAGTACAAGAGGCCAGGATGCCATCCTGGGTACTTTACAGGTATGCCATGGTTGTGTGCCCGACCTTACCCTGGTGCTCCGAGGCTGCCAGCCATCCTTGGACCAAGCCTGAGGACTCTGAGAGATGAAGGATCAACAGCCCTGAGCAGGCCCCAGGGGAAGGAAGGCAGAGGAGGAGAGGAGGACAGGGGACAAAGGAATTCACCTTTGCTGAGCCTCATACCTCCAGCACTCTCACTACACACAGAGTGAGCCTGGCTCCACCGAAAGGTCCTTGGCCACCCACATTGCCTTCCACATCTCCGGTTGCCTGGGGCCCTCCCACAGCCTTTGACCTGCTGAAAAGCATCTGGCTAGTAGCCACACCACCTCCTTCCTGGCCCCGTGGGGTCAGCACGCCACAGTCCCTGCCTCAGCTACCATCCCCCTTGTTTTCCCAAACCTCTGCCCTTGACTGGAGTCCTTGTCCCCCTGCCCCACTGCCCAGCCTCTCCTATACAGTGGCCCAGAGCAGCCCAGAGGCCTGGTCCTTTCCACCCATGAGACTGTACTAAGGGGACTAATGCTGGTATAGGGGCAGCACTCCCAGTCACCTCAATAAAATACCTTCCTTCATGGTCCTCTTAAAAAAAAAAAAAAAAAAAAAAAGATTTTCTGTCTTTAATTTTTGGCATTTTAATTATGATGTGTCTGGGGTTGGGCCTGTTGAGTTCTTCTTGCTTGGGAATGTCTGTGCATCCTGAACTTTTACAACTCATTCCTTCATCAGATTAGGAAAGTTTTCTGCCATTATTTTTTCAAACACGTTCTCTATTTTTTGCTCCTTTTCTTCCCTTTCTGTCACAACTATTATGCGAATATTGTTATGTTTCAGGTTTTCATACAGCTAGCTCCCTTAAGCAGTCCTCCTGTTCTTTTTAAAATATACTCTTTTTTTGATTTCAGTGAGGAAGGGAGAGGGAGAAAGAGAGATAGAAACATCAATTGTGAGAGAGAATAATTAATTGGCTGCCTCCTTCATGTCCTCCCACCCCCCATTGGTGATTGAGCCCACAACCTGGGCATGTGCTCTGACAGGGAATTGAATTGTTACCTCCAGGTTCATAGGACAGTGCACAACCCCTTAGCCATACCAGCTATGTTATCCTCCTGTTTTTAAATTTTTTTTCCCTTTTGGTTATCTGATTGAGTGATTGATTTCTACCCTGTCTTCTAATTGATCGATCTGTTCCTCAGCTTCCCATAATCTGCTCTGTATTCCCTCCAATGTATTCTTTATTAGTTCTATGTCATTCTTTATTTCCAATACCTTTTTCATGCTTTTTGATCTTTTCTCAGGCTGTTGAGCATCTTTACCATCATTATTCCTAACTCAATATCAGATAAATATTTTATCTCCATTTAATTTATTTCTCCTTGAGGAATCTTGTTCTTTCATTCTTTTTTTTTTCTTTTTTCTCCAATTTGGCTGCCTGCTTGAGTTTTTATGTAATATATGGATCTGCTACACCTCCCAGTCTCTAGTGCAGGACAGTGTTAAATCCTGTTTCTGACCAATTAGATCAGGCAGAGTCTCAAAACTTCCAAAGACCCATCTCTGCCTATAGACTGATTTGATTCAGTCTTGAGTAGCCTCTGATAATCATCCATAGGTGGGGTGAGAGGTTTTCCAACAGGGTGGGACAAATGCTTTGGTGTGGATGCTAATTGTTATTCTTAGTCTCCTAATTGGCCTCAGAAACTCCATAGCATGGAACAAGGAGTTTTCCAATAGGGTGGGTCAACTGTCTTCCCCCCAGGCAAGCACTGCCTGGATAGCAAAGGTCTACCTGAAAAGATGGCCTTTGCAGTGTGAAGGAATAACTCAGCACAGGAACCTGGGTATCTGTCTTCTCAGCTCTAATTCTAGAGCCCCCAATCCTGGCTTCTGCCCATGCAGCTTCAGTACACTTGATTCTCTCTCTGTCCGAACCCAAGGTTAGTGGCTGCACACAAGATTTTGTGCATGGGTTTTTTTAAAAGTGTGCCAGCATTACAGCCACCTTTCCCTGGCAGATAGCAATCCTATTGCTTTTCACAGCCATATGTTATGTGAGGACCTTTTAAAGTTTTGCTGCTCTCTGCAGGGGGCCCAGCTTGGGGTTATATTCCAGAGTTCTCAGTGACAACTCCCCACAACTGAGATACTAGTATCTCTCTGGTACTTCAGGACTAAGGAACTACTAACCTACTTTCTCTCTATATACATTTGCCTAGTCTGGACAATCACATAATGGAACCATATAATGTATAGTCTTTTGGATATATATATATATATATATATATATATATATATATAATTAAAAAATATATATTTTAATGATTTTTAAAAAATACGTATTTTATTGATTTTTCACAGAGATGAAGAGAGAGGGATAGAAAGTTAGAAACATCGATGAGACAGAGTCATTGATCAGCTGCCTCTTGCACACCCCCTACTGGTGATGTGCCCGCAACCAAGGTACATGTCCTTGACCACATCCGAACCTGGGACCTTTCAGTCCACAGGCTGACGCTCTATCCACTGAGCCAAACCGTCTCGGTGGTATAAGTTTTTATGGACTTACAATGTTGCTCTACATTTGGTAATATGCCATTTGCTATGAAGATTGTGCCATCTAGAATGTCATTGCACGTCCAGCAGTGTGGTTCAGGGGTTAGTGTGGTTCCGTCCCTTCAATGGAAGGGTCATTGGCTCCATTCTGATCAAGGGTAGGTACTTGGGTTGCAGTATAGATGGGGGCCTGGGTAGACAAAAATATCCTAGAGTGAGGATTAACAATAAAGTCAATACAAAAGCAGAACTGTGTACTAAAAAGTTTTATAAGGATATTTCATTGTATTGAGAACTGAACAAGTTACAATCATGAAATCACAGATTTGCAAAGCCCCCGTCCCCAATGATACTATTTTGAGAAAGCTGGTTGAAATACATGTTGGACATTTTTCAAGTTAAGTAAGGAGAATTATATTTATTGTATTTTGCCCTACGTGGAAGAATTACTTGATTTTTAAAATTCATCATTCATGAATAAATCTCAATTTCTATTGCTGTAAGTGGCGTCTATAATGTTCACTGCCTGCCTTTACTGAGATCTTCGAGGATGACTGACTTCATTATAAACTTCCTGTTCAACCTTATCTTATCGAACGTTCCACGGTAACAATACATGTCTATTTGTAGGCGGTGGTGGATCATGGTGGAATTGAAGTCTTAATAGATCCATGCATCCATGTCCCCGTCGTTGTCATCCCTCTGTTCGCCGCTAGGGCGAGGCTCGAGTCCTGGAACGGAACCCGGCGAGGCGTGCGTCCGAGACGTCGGGGTGCCTGGGAACAAAAGAGGAGCCGCGGCCGGCGGGCTGCCCCCTGCGGTGGCGGGCTGTCGGTGGGTCCTTCACCCCGGAGACCCGGGTGCAGGGCGGCAACAGCGCCGGCGCCCAGGACCCCGGCCCGTCCACCCTCGGGCCAGGCTCCAGTGGCGCCCCCGGGCCTCCATCTTGGCCTTCGGGGTGGGAACGGGGTCTGGGTCTCCTTGGGCCCCACGCAGACGCCGGGAGTAGGCTGTCCCTTGCCGAATGGCGGACCGCAGCGGGGTCTGCAGGGGACACGTCGCCCAGCCCCGCAGACCCGGTTCCGAGTGGTCCCGACAAGATGGAGGACGCCATCTCCTCCCGCAGCCATGACGGGCGGCGGCGGCGCTCCTCACGGGATGAGGCGCGGGTGGACGTGCGTCCGCCCCAGGCCGCTCGGGGACGCCTCCGCCCGCCGCCCGGCCCGTTGGCCCGGGGCTACCCCTGCCCGTTGGCCCGCACGGGGCCTCCAGCCTCCGGGACTTGGGCAGGAGGGCGTAAGGGACATCGAGGCCGCGTCCCTTCCCGGGCAAAATGCTGGGGACCGCCGCGGCGGGCTGGGCGCCCCGGCCCGAACCATAGAAGCGGTCTGGCCTCAGTGTCTCGGACGCCCCGACACAGGGAGTCCCCTGACCGCGGCAAGTCCCGCGGCTACGAAAGAAAGTCGGGCCGCTGACCCTACGGACCCGGTGGGGGCGGGGCGGGGGGCGGGAGCGAGGAGGGAGGAACGCGGCCCAAGCCACAGCCAGCTTAGGGGCCGGGAATGGACGGACAGGGGGTGTGGCTTGCGCCTGACGGACAGCCTCACGGGCCATCCCCTTATGGGATTCCTGAAGGAAGGCAGACTCAGCCAATAGACGCGCCCAAGGCGCCCCGGCCGGCCCTCGCCAGCCAATGGGGGTGCGGAGGGCGGGGCGCACTCCGGCTCAGCCCGCCGCCTCCTCCGCCTTCGCCTGCTCTCAGCGCTAAACCCGGGACTGGACCGAGCGGAGTTGTGCGCGTCGCCGAAGGGGGTGGGTCGGGGGAGGGGAGGTTCGTTCCGCGAAGCCGCAGCCAGAACCGGGTGAGGCTCGTCCCCGCGGTGTTAGTAGTCCTGGCCCGTGGACGGTGGGGGTGGCTGGGTGCAGCGCAGCCTTGGGAGACGGAGGCGGAGATGGGCGAGGGCGGCCTCTGGAGCCTCCCACCGGCCTGGGGCTAACCCCCGCGGCGCGGCCGCCGTCGTCGGTGCGCGTCCTGCCCGGGCGGCTGGTCCGGCCTCGCTCATGTCACGGCGCGGTCTCGTGCGGCCCGTGGGCTGGGGGCTCGCGTGCGAGGCCGGGAGGGCCGGGTGAGGACGCCGGGCTGGGGGCGCTCGGCGGGGGCGCCAGGGTGGGGGCGCGGGCATTTTCCTTTCTCTCCGGGGGCGGGAGGGGGGGGTAGTGTGGCGGAGAAGGGGCGTTCGGTCTTCCCGCTCCCGGTACGGCGCCGGAGCTCGGGGTCTCCAAGTTTGGGGTGAGGGTCCGGGTCCGCGCCGGGCCCTGCTCCCGCTCCCCTCCCGGCTCTGCGCGGCCCTGCCCCGCACGTATTGTTTGGCTGGGTCTCTAATGGCGGACGGGGAGACAGCGCAGCCGGTCGCCGACTGCGGGGGTAGAGGGGGGGACAAGTGTCGGGCCCAGGACTAAAGCTCGGGGCAAATGCTGGAGATTTGAGCCCAGCGGCGATGCGAGCCGCCCCTAAATTGGAGTTGGTGCCCGGAGTGACGGGAGAGACTCCGGGTGGGCCCCTTTGGGAGAAAATGCTGGCGTCGAGGCACCGTTTGCCCTTCCCCCGCTCTCTTCACTGGGGCAGGTTGGATGCCCTCCACCTTCTCCCTCCAGATTTTGCATTTCACTTGGGTTTTGGGACCAAATTCATGTTTTACGCCATTTTGCTCCGCTTTACGTACGAGGGATTGTTGGTCTCGTGTTGGGCAGTGATAACAGAAGGACCGAACCTCCTTGACCTCATATTCCCTTTTCGTTTTCTCGTGGGAAAGGCTGGTTGTCCTACCTGGATAGCTTGTTCTTGATGCATTTTTCGTTTTTCCTCTTACCCTAGGAGCAGGAATCGCTTTGAACGCCGTGTGGTGAATTTTTGACAGAAAGTGAGAAGGAAAACACCCTCATTGTGAGTCCTTTGCTCCTGATTTGTCGCTCTTAGAGAAAGTTGTCAGGTTGTAGACGTTCAGACCTGGGTCTTGTCTGTCCAGGTGTTTTGAGGGGGAGGAGCTTTCCCTTGGTGGCAGCCGCCTGGGTAGTAATTGGGAGTGGGCGCTGCAGATACTGCTTCTGCTGCTGCAACACAAACCTCAGGTCCTGCAGCTAGCTGCTCACATTACCCAGAGGTGGGTTGGTGGGAAGGAGGGCATATTTCTTGCGCCCTCTAGAGTTCCACAGTGGGAACTGAAGTTATTTCATTTTGGTATGCAAAAAACCATCCTTTACATTTTTTCTACCTTTATAATGGTAATTTATCGAAGGATAGGAAAAATAGGAACCATTTAACTTTTTGTTTGTGTCTGATTTAAAACTCATAGTCTTTTTAGGGTTTATGAGTTGGTAGGTCTCTTTCATGTCTTTGCTTAGGCTTAAATCCACTCCTAGTTCAGCAGCCAGTATGCTGATCACACCAGCCCATTGCTCTCTGAGTTCCTCATCTTCTGTGGTCAGTAGTCTTCACTTGAGTCATTCTTTTATTTATTTTTATTTAAAAAATATGTATTTTATTGATTTTTTACAGACAGGAAGGGAGAGGGATAGAGAGTTAAAAACATTGATCAGATAGATGAGAAGGAAACATCGATCAGCTGCCTCCTGTACTCCCCCTTCTGGGGATGTGCCTGCAACCAAGGTACGTGCCCTTGACTGGAATAGAACCTGGGACCTTTCAGTCCCAAGGCCAATACTCTATCCATTGAGCCAAACCGGTTAGGGCCTTTTTTTTTTTTTTTTTTTTTTTAATAAACAATTTTTTTTTAAATAGATGAGAGAGAGAGAGAAACATCAATTTGGTGTTCCACTTATTTATGCATTCATTGGTTGATTCTTGTATACTACCGTGTTTCCCTGAAAATAAGACATCCTCTGAAAATAAAACATCCTCCGAAAATAAGACCTAGCGCATGGAAAGATAAGACATCCCCTGAAAATAAGACCTAGCGCAACTTTGGGAGAAAAAATTAATATAAGACACTGTCTTATTTTCGGGGAAACAGGGTATGACTGGGGGTTTAACCAACAGCTACCTGGCCAGGGCTTCACTTGAGTGATTCTTAAATATGTTAACAGAGTTATTGTTTAGTGCTTGTAATTTGCTGATTTTAAGTCAGTCTGGGAATGTTCTAGAATCTAGATAATAAGATAAACATAACCAGTCAAAAACCTCCCTCATTTGAAATAAGTTATGAAATATCAGTGAAGTTAGCACTCTGGACACATTGTATCTTTTGAGTCCATTGACAGTTGATACTGTAACTTGAAGATCTCTGTCAGAGGTGAATCATTAGTAGCTTATACTTAATTATTAAGTGGAAAATCGGTCAAAAGACAGTTAATTGATGATGAATATTTGCTGAATATTGATAAAGATGATGTGAGGATGATAGCTTATGTTAAATAGATATCATCTAGGCACAGTGCAGGACACTTTCATGTATTATTTCACTTAATCTTAGCAGGTAGACTGTGGTTAATTAAAATATTATATATTGCCCTAGTCAGTTTGGTTCACTGGATAGAGTGTTGGCCTGTGGACTGAAGGGTCCTGGGTTCGATTCCTATCAAGGGCACATACCTGGGTTGTGGGCTCAATCCCCAGTAGGGGGCCTGCAGGAGGCAGCTGATCAATGATTCTCATCGATGTTACTGTCTCTCTTCCTCTTCCTCTCAGAAATCAATAAAAATACATTAAAAACAACCAAAGAAACTTCTCTTTCAAAAACATAGTATGTATTAAGTCCCTATTGTGCACCAGCACAATTATAAGCTAAATTTAAAAAAAAGTTTACTTAGAAACTTTCAAATTTACTATTATGAGTAGTATATTGAATTTCTGTGTACCTATTATTTACATTTTTTAATTTCCACACATGTCCAAGCTAATTTTTAACCTGTATTAAGTAATTTAGTCTTCATGAAAACCCATTGATATAGGTACTGTTTGTATTCCTAATTTGTAGAGGAAGAAAAATAATGCCAAGATGTCATTCTTGTTTTGCTTAATGATTTAACTCGGAATTAAAAGTATTTTAAAATACCAGTTAATGGAGTTTTAATATGTAAGATACAGAGAACCCGGCAATTTTTAATTGACTTTGCTTAATTAAGTAAGTTCTTTATTATACTTAACATTTGTTGGGCAGTTACTGTTAGGTGCTATTAGATGTACTTACAAAGTATCTTTTTTTTTTTTAGATATATTTTATTGATTTTGTACAGAGAGAAAGGGAGAGAGAGAGATAGAAACATCGATGAGAGAGAGTCATCGATCAGCTGCCTCTTGCACACCCCCTACTGGGGATATGCCCGCAACCAAGGTACATGCCCTTGACCGGAATCGAACCCGGGACCTTTCAGTCCCCAAGCCAAACCATTGAGCCAAACTGGTTTCGGCTACTTACAAAGTATTTTGATAGTTAAAAATACTTTGCATAATTATGGCATCTTAGAGCATTCTTCTTCTTCTTATTTTTTAAATTCAGTTGTTGCTCTTGAAATTCTTTTTTTTTTTAAATAAGTTATCTTTTTTTAAAAAATATATTTTATTGATTTTTTTTACAGAGAGGAAGGGAGAGATATAGAGAGCTAGAAACGTCCATGAGAGAGAAACATCGACCAGCTGCCTCCTACACACCCCCTACTGGGGATGTGCCCGCAACTCAGGTACATGCCCTTGACCGGAATCGAACCTGGGACCTTTCAGTCTGCAGACCAATGCTCTACCACTGAGCCAAACCGGTTTTGGCTAAATAAGTTATCTTTTTATTTTTTTTATTATTTTTTATTGATTTTTCACAGAGATGAGAGAGGGATAGAGAGTTAGAAACATCGATCAGCTGCCTCTTGCACCCCCCTCCCCCCCACTGGGGATATGCCTGCAACCAAGGTACATGCCCTTGCCCGGAATCAAACCCAGGACCTTTCAGTCCGCAGGCCGATGCTCTATCCACTGAGCCAAACCGGTCCTGGCGAGCATTCTTGTTTTTAAAAATATCTTAAAAATGGATTTTTAGCCGAAACCGGTTTGGCTCAGCGGTAGAGCGTTGGTCTGCGGACTGAGGGGTCCCGGGTTCAATTCAAGGGCATGTACATTGGTTGCGGGCACATCCCCGGTGGGGGGTGTGCAGGGGTTGGCTGGTCGATGTTTCTCTCTCATTGATGTTTCTGGCTCTCTATCTCTCTCCTTTCCTCTCTGTAAAAAGTCAATAAAATATATTTTTAAAAAATGGGTTTTTATAGAGATAGGAAGGGGAAAAAAATCACACATTCATGTGAGAGTAACATTGATTGGTTTCCTCCTGTATACCCCCTGACCGAGTATTAGACCCACAATCTTTGTATGTACCCTGACTGGGAATCAAACCTGTGAATGAATTTCAACCAACTGGGATACTCTGACCAGCGCTAGTGCATTCTTAATAGTAGTATGAATCACCCTCCCCTCCCACCTGTCCTTTTAAACAGTTGGAGGAAATGTACAGCATGGTCCCTACTTTTCCATGTTCTAATATTTAATTTCATGGAGTAGACTTTATACCTCATTTGATGAGATAGTCCTGTATCACTTAGATGTCCCATAGGTGTTGACATATTGATGTTTCAGATTTTTCATGGATATGGAGCTTGATATAACATCTGTGTAATTTTTATAGTCTTTTTTTTTTTTTTTAAATCCTCACCTGAGGATATGCTTTTATTGATTTTTTTTTCTTTTTCTTTTTTTTTCTTTTTAAAAAATATATATATTTTATTAATTTTTTACAGAGAGGAAAGGAGAGGGATAAAGAGCTAGAAACATCGATGAGAGAGAGTCATCAATCAGCTGCCTCTTGCACCCCCCCCACTGGGGATGTGCCCACAACCAAGGTACATGCCCTTGACTGGAATCGAACCTGGGAGTCTTTAGTTCGCAGGCCGACGCTCTATCCACTGAGCCAAACCAGTTTCGGCATACAGGGTAAAGTTCTAACTGCCCTCTAGAAGAATCAAACATTCAACAGAAGAGAGACTGACTTTGAAGACATAAGCTATACAACACAATAATATCATATAGCAATTTAACTTATTTATTCTACAATAAATTTCCTTAGACATGTTTATGTCTAGGACATATGCCAAGGAGTAGAATTCATTGTTCAACTTTGCTAAACACATATTGTTTTCCAATGCCCCAGTGGTAAAGAGAGTCTCTATTTTGCCACACCCTAACTTGGAAATCTCAGACTAAAATTTTTGCCAATCTGATGGCTATAAAGCATGTAGTATATTGTTGTTGTTATGTGCATTTTCATGCTTACTAGTGAAGTTGAGCATCTTTCCATGTATTTATTTGCTTCAGGTTTTCTTTTTTTTTCTTTTTTTTTTTTAATAAGTTTTTATTGTTCATATTATTACAAATGTTCCTTTCCCCCCCCGCCCCCCACCATTGCTCTCCTCCACCAGGTTCCCACCCCACCCTCTGCCCTTTCCCCTCTCCCCATTGTCCTCATTCATAGGTGCACAGTTTATGTTCAGTCTCTTCCCACGCCCCCCTCTAACCTTTTCCCCAAGAATCGTCAGTTCACTCCCCTTCCATACCTCTGATTCTATTATATTCAATAGTTAACATTGTTCATCAGATTTTTTTAATTTCCTTGGTTTTTAGATTCACTTGTTGATAGTTACGTATTTGTTGTTCATAATTTTTATCTTTGTTTACTTTCTCTTCTAAAAGAACCCCCTTCAGCAATTCATATAATTCTGGTTTGGTGGTGATGAACTCCTTTAGCTTTTTTTTATTAGTGAAGCTCTTTATCTGGCCTTCGATTCTGAGTGATAGCTTTGCTGGGTAGATTATTTTTGGCTGTAGGTTCTTGCTATTCATCACCTTGAATATTTCTTGCCATTCCCTTCTGGCCTGCATGGTTTCTG